TAGACTGAAACAAATAAAACCCAACGCATGCACCCAGACAGTGACCTTCAGTTTAAAAATTTTGAGATTTGGATGTCATATTTAAAATAACAATGACGCCAGTTTCTAGTTTTTTAGTTGGTCAGACGCTTTCCTGTTATGCCTGCGCGATCCAATAGTCAGTGACGAATGTTCAGACGGGAAATTTGAAGAAAGATAAATGCTAAAAAAAGATAAATTTAATAACTATGTATTAAAAATGTAAATAAATTAATTAATTAAAAGGTAAAATTACAATTTTTTTTTAAAAAAATTAAAACTCATGGAAAAAACATTATAAAGCACCTCAGATTGATTGCATTGTTCATCGAAACAATGCTGAATTTCTTGTTTTCTTTAGAAACTTTTTGTTTGAATCGCCAATATATTTTTGTAAATTAGTCTTCAAAAATTGCATATAGAATTTAAAGCTCATAATTTATTTTAATTTTTTATAGGTTTTTTTTATTAAATAAGTATATTAATATTTGATTAGTATTTAATTTTATAGAAAAAAACAATTTGGTTATGCTGATTGAAAAAATTATAAATTTAGAGATCTAAATTGATATTATGGAAAAAATTAATAGTTTTTCTTTTTATCTCAATGTTCAAAATGTATCTGCTTTTTTATTCATTTAATGTTTCATGAAAAAAAAAGCATGTGCTCCCTTCAAATTTTAATTGAATATCTTATTCTTTTAAATTTTTAATAACAAATAATCATTTTACTTTTAAGAAATTATTTTATTTTTATTTGATAGTTTTTTTAGTACTATCAACTTTCTTTCATCCTAAAATTTTAACAAGATTTTATTCAATATATTTTACGATCCTTTATAAAATTTTAGCTCATTATGATGGTCGGATTAAAAATTATATTCAATAATATAAAACTGATCAAATTATTATTTTTCATCAAATTTCTAAATTTCTTCAAAAATTCTAAAATTTTAACCCAAGCTAAAGCATTATATTGGAAGGCTACATATAAATTTTTAGATTTTTTTAATAACTCAATTGAGAATTACAAAAAAAATTACATAAAACTTGTTGCATATGTGCAATGTCACGATGATTATCCATAACTCAAGGAAAATTATAAAAGTTTATCTGGAAAATATAAAGAGACAAGAAATTCTCATCTTTTATCGGTAAAAAATTTGAATGGAAGTCGTCATCTAGTATTCTGGTAACTATAAACCCTAATTGATCTTAGAAATTGGGTACAAAGACTAATTACAAGGAATGTATTAGCACCCCAATTATATCCTATTTAAAGTAGGTCGTATTGCTTTAATATCTGGTAAAAAACTATGGTCTTATTGTGTTTTATAATTATTAGTTTGTATAAAATTCAAGAAAAGCTCTCCTTAATAAATAGTTTCTTATCTTAGTAAGGTAAAATCTAATTGCTTTAGCATAAAAAAAAGAATTTAATATCCGAAATACATGTTACTTGTAATGTTGTACCCCATATACTAAAAGATAAACAAAATAAAATTTTTGTTATTTTTGAAATTCTGATCAATATTCTCTTGATTTTAATAAACTGGTTATTAAAGCCAAAATTCATGCTAAAACATTGTTTTTTGGTGTATGAAGAACACAATATGATTTTTTTAACTTTGAGACACTTGGCCTTATACACAAAAATATTTTTTTTATTTTTTTCAATTGTTTTTATATTTTGGAAGTTTTGACAAAAACTAGGTATTTTAATATTGAATTTGTATTTTATAACATAACATACAAATTGCTATTAAGTAAAAAAAAGCATAAATTAAAAAGTGGGGAAATCACAAATATTGAAAAATATTTTTTTTCTTTTAATTTTTTTTAAATGAGTCGGACCAGACTTAAATGTATGGGTTGGGGCCGTGTGAATAGTGCCTTCCATTGTTCACAAGCTACTTGAACAGTGGAGGCGTGACAAAGATGAAGCAGGAGAAAAAGAAAAGGGAGAAGGGATGACCTGCGATGGTAGCTGTTGTTGAAAGCGATAGGTAGTGGTGTTGGTGGTGGTGTTGGAGGTTCGCGATGGTGGAAGAGGCTATGTTTTTTTTTTTCTCTCTCTCTCTCTTCTGTTTTCATTCTCTTCTTTGCTTCTTCTTCTTCTTCTTCTATTTTGGTCTTTTCCCTCTCCTCTGCTTTCTCTTTTCTCGTATCCTCCTTTTTCTTTGCTCTCTTTTTCTGTTTTTATAGGTAAAAAAAGAAAGAAAGAGGTCAGGGCGGCCACTGTGATGCCTTCCCTCCAACACTTGGAAAGCTTTGGGCAAATGGGGGTGTATTATTGTCTTTTTGAAAGGAAGTTTGTGTTTTTTTGTAGGGAAAGGCAATAGAAAACAGGGGAAGAAAAATCTTCTTCTTCCCCTACTTCGCGTGTTTAGGGAAAGAAGAAGACCCATAATGCTGTTCAAAACAATATCGTTTCGAGCTTCTTTTTTTTTAATGAATAGTGTAGGAGATGAAGTCGTTTTAGATAAAATATGCCGTTTCATTTAAAAGAAAAGGGAGGTAAAAAAACATGTTAGAGTTCACATCAGCTCTCAATTTATGATTTGTTCAATCGAGTCCTTAATTGCAATTTGATTTAAAAATCAATGTAATTACATCCATGCTAAAAATTAAACAGCGTCCTAAAGTTGGTTGTCTTTTTCACTTTTGTCCTTAGTTTTGAATTTATACAATTTGACCATCAATTGATCAATAAACTTTTAATTTTTCTAACTTGACCCCTATTTGGTTTAATTATAGCCTCTCTATTTATGTTTATTTTTATTTTGGTCCCTAGTTTTGGATCTTTTGAATTAAGTCCCTGATTGACTATCAAATTTCAATATTTATGCAATTAAGCTCTTGATTTTATCAAATTAACTTATAAAAATTATAATTTGACCTTAGAACTTTAATTTTTTTCAATTAAAACCTAAATTGACTTCAAAATTAATTTTTCTTGCAATTAACCCCTTCATAAATTTAATTAAATCTTCAATAAAATTTAATTGAGTCCATAAACATTTAATTTCAGACTTTTCTTCCTCAAATTAATTTTTTTTTATCAACATGGCTCTTATTAGTCAATAAAATATTGTCACATTTTAACTTTTATAATTTTGAACCTCCTAAATGAATTTTTAATTATTTTTAGAATGCTCCGACATCCTCTTTTTCCTGTTATATTTTTTAATTTTTTGTACTTTTGAAAGAGAGAAAAAAATATAAATTAAAAAATAATCCAAAAATAAATTATAATACAACTAATAAAAAAATATTAATAAAATCTTGAATTTACTTTGATATCAAATTTTTCAGCAAGCGGTCACCTCAGGCCCTTAAGGCTGTTAATATAAATATGCTATAGCAAACCGATTTTTTCGTAAAGCATGCATTCCCAGCTGTGCAGGGTGTTAATATAATATAGTAATATGTTATAAAATTATAATATTATTATCAACCGGTTCTATTTAACGATGGCAGAAACCTCTGCTCGTATGCCCGCCGGTGTTTCTTCCTCATATTTGGTGATGTCACCAACACTATCTCTTTCTAATCTCACTTGAGACATTACTGTTTTTTTCTCTCTAATTAATCATTCCTTTTAATTTGTAGTTTTAAGCCATGGATGGCACTTACACGCTACACGCCCCTGCACAAGACTCGGCCACGGAAGGCTACTCCTCAGCTGCTAAAGGAGGAGTTGCTGGTGTCCTCATCATGCTCCTTCTTGCTGTCGTAGTTTATGTATTCTTCAGGTGCCGAAACTGCTCCGTAAAATTTGAGGTGGATGTTGAAATGCCAGAAAGGAGCGTCCATGCTGGGAAATAAGGAGGTAGCATGTCATAAGAAGTTGAAGCTGATTAAGATTCATACAATGAGATTCTTCTAATCTTTCAATATAAATGTTTTCGTATTAATTGCAGGTCTTCTTCTTCGCCGAGGTAGCAATCCATTCAGTACTCGGGCGCCTCCACAGTTGGTTTCTAGTTATATCTACTGTATTATTGCAGATAAATATTTGGTCTGTTTTCTCATGACAAAAAACTCAAGATCAGACCATTTTAATTTATACTTTATATATAAATAAACTATGGTGTGAATTTTGTTTTGGAGTTAAAAATCTTCAATTAAAATCGTCAAAGCAGACAATGAATTTTGGGTTTTTTCCCTTAATTCTTTTTTTGCACTTTACTTGGAGTGGGGTTTTTTTTTTTATCATTTTACCGCGGTGCCACTGTAATAAATCAGTGTGGACTTACTGGTAATTTTCTTATCTGCTGGGGCTCGCTTTTGGATCTTCCATTTTATTACCGCCTATTTTTAACGAAAAGAAAGTCGTTCACAATCACTGCAGTCACAGCCATACTCTTCGTTAAATCGATCGCAGATCCCACTCTATGTCAAATCCATGGCGTTCCGGTGCGTTGAGTGTCGGAACGGTGCCAGCTCCATCTCCTCTGCGCGTTGATGAGCGCGGTTTTTCTGTCTGCTATCCAGTCTTTCTGCCTTCTGTTGCTTTCGCTTTTGTCTTCGCGCGCCTTCCACCGCTGGTGGAGTTACTAGTGGCGTGGTCCTGGACGGCTGCGTTGATTGGTGTGATCGCTTGAGTCTGTGGGAGCTGTCGCTTTTCGTGTTCTTTTTTTTTTTGGCTCCTGGCAGCTGGATCGTTTCATTGTTGACTGCTATGCCGTGGTTTGGTGGTTTTATTGGTAACTGGTTCATTGGTTGTGCTTTTTTTTCCCTGTTCTCGAGAGTGAGAGAGGTGAGAATTGCTAGGGGAGATGAGTTGCGGTGGTGGTCCGGGGGTTTCAGTGTGTTAAGTGTGGGATCGGTGCCACCTCCATCTCCTCTGCGTGTTGATGAGGGCGGTTTTTTCTCGTCCGTATACAACGAGGGATGTCCAGTATTTTTGGCTTCCATTGTTGCGCTGACTTCCGTGATCGCTTGAGTCTGTTGGAGTTGACGCTTTTCGTGTTATTTTCCCCGCTTCTGGCAGCCGGATCGTTTCGTTGTTATCGGCTATGCCGCGGTTTGGTGGTTATGTTGGTAACTGGTTCAATGGCTATGTTGGTGTTGGGCGTGCCTTGGCGGAATTGCGCTGGGCAGCTGGGTTTTTTTTTAGAGGGAGATGAGAATTGCCAGTGGAGATGGGTTGCGGTGGCGGTCCGTCGGTTTTGGCTTTGTTGAGTACAGAGGTATTAATCTTCTATTACAACGAAAAAAAATAGCAACCGCGACATGGAGGAAGGAAGAGACAGAAGGAGATTAAAATTATCGACCTTGACTGGTAATTTTCTTTGATTTTCTTAAATGGATCTTTGAATGAGTTGTTTATTATTACCTATATTGGTTGGCTGATAGGTTCTCCCCAGTGCAGTGTTGTGTTGCAGTGATGGGGCGTGCTAATATCTATGTTTTAATAACTGATTGGTTGAATGAAATGAATTGGCAGAGTATGGAAAGGAGCAGGACATGGGAATCGAAGCATTGGAAGCCATGCTTAAGAATGATGAATTTTGAGGTGCCCTTCCCTTTCTTTGTTTTTTTAGTTTTTCAAAGTAAACAGACCAATGATATGCAATGGCAGAAATTCATTATAGCGAGGGTGGCCTTAGTACTTGTAATCATCGCTTCAAGATACCAATTTCTCCACAGGTGGGGCTGGCTGGCTGTTCATCACGGTGCTGTGTTTTTTCCGTTCCCAGGAGTTTGGCCATGTTCTTATGCTATGCTCCTTTAGTTATGCTGTTTTGGATTCTTAGCTCGACCAGTTTTGTTTTCAGTGGGAAAAGAGGTGAACAGGGAGCTATGATTTCTATCTAGATCTATATATGGTTTGCTGTGTGTGCTCAATCTCCCTAAATTATTATTTTTCCTGCTAAAGTTTGCCATGGAAATTGATTCCAACATGGCACAACAATTGATAGCAGCCAGCAAAACTTTGACCTAACCCGTTTATTTTCTAACAACATCGATAGTTCCGTCATTAAGTTTCAATCTTTTTTATTTGGTTAAGGTGTCATCGTGATTGCCTTATAATTATGTTCCCTGTGTTCTTTTTTCCCCTGGCAGGTGTGGAGTGATCAGAGTGAATTTTGGGCTTTTGAGTGAGAATTCTATGTTTTTTCTTGTTGAATTTAGGATTTTCAAGAGCCAAGAGTTTACTTGACTGATATCGCAGACTTGCTGATTATGCCATGGACTATTCAAGACAGAAATAGCAGACCATGCCTTCAGGCAATTCTGAGCTTTTTTTTTTTTAACAACAGAAAAGATAGCAAACAAGATATGTGGCTGCTGTTGCACCGGGGCATCCATTCCTTTTCTTTTCTGAGATTCATGTTGACAGATTGTACAATCAAACACATAATGCTTTATTCAGCATCTCACAGCTAAGATTAAATTCTGCTTTGTGTGCGGTCCATTGATCTGTCCACTATGTTCATCCCTTTATTTTTGTTTTTGGTTTTCTCTGCCTTGTATTGACATTGAAACCATTGCTCACACATCCCATCTTTCTTCTTTCCTTTTTTCTTCTTGGATAAGGTTCACAGATACATGAGTTGATTATGGTGCCGTGGTGATCACATAGTTGGCTTGCTCGAGCTCAACAGCAGGATTTCTGTTCTGTTGGTTGTAAATGAATCATTTGGGTTATGTTTTCTGTTTTTAACCAATCCATTTGCCACTTTGATTTCCACAAGTCCATGGTGGGTTACAAAACTATCAACGAATCACATTACCTACCTTTTGCAGGGAAACTGAAGCTGTTGGAGGACTGCAACTGCCACCCCAAATCGAGAGTGTGGATGCAGCCGTGGTCTTCAACAACTTTTTGACAGCTACTGTTATGGAGATGGACCAAACCACTTAATTTTTGTGGCAAGGATGAAGGAGGTTTACTTTGGATCCAGGCAACCTTTTGGTTTTTCTGTGTAAGAGACATGTAATTGCTTTAAAGGATTTGAAGCAGCTCATAAAACTGACTTGTTGTTTCCTTTTTTGATTTTGATGCGAAGAGCTGTATTTGGTAGTTTAAGACATGATTGAAATGCATGTCAGTTCTGGTCGATCTCCTAAAGTAACAATCACCGGTCAATGCATGCCTATCAACAATGCAGTTGGCGCCGCGCCACCCTTGTCCATTCCCGCGCGTGTTGTAACCTTATGAAAAAGATAGTATTTTTTTAGGTTTTTTTTTTTTTGAATAAAGTTACTGAAGATAGACTGTTGTCAATTTTCCATCTCAAGGAATTAAGAAATATTATTGTCCAAGTAAAATGCTAGAAAACTCGAGTTTCTTCAAGTTATCTCTATGTTCTTTAACAAATCGCAATTGAAATTGCCAAGTGATGGATCGGATATACTTTGTTCTGAAAATGTTTCCTTCTCTTGAAGGCCCGCAATTACAAGGGCTAAGATAACAGAGAAACTTAGCGAGAAGTCAAGGCCCAAAACAATGAGATCAGATGTGATATACAGTTTATACCTGACCTAACTTTTTTTTATACCTGACCTAACTTTTTTTGAGTTTGATTACACCTCAAGTTTAATTAATTATAAGCAAATGAGATCTTAAAAAAAAAATAGTATATGATATAATTCTTAAAAAAATCTAATAATTAAAAATAAAATTAAATAAAAAAGGATTGGGTTGTCAAAAGGCGAATTAATAAAAAGAAAAAAAACCAAACAAATGAAATAAAGGAAACACAAAACACTGTTTCAACAAATAATTTGTTATGAATGTAACTACAGCTGTGGTTCTTTCAAAAATCCAAACTATCCAAATGACTCGGCGCCATGACAAATGCAATTCTTGAGATCTTGTTCCATCTTCCCAGCATCTTTGGTGAAGAAATTTACTAATTAATGCACAGAAAATGACAATAAAAACTCCAATATTATTTTCAAAGCCCTTAAAAGAAAAACAAAATTGAAATACTAGGGCATATAAGAGAGTTTTACGTTAAACGTGGTTTAATTTCTAAAAGGTCAAAGGAAGCCTATCTGGGACGAGGGAGGAGAGAGGAAAAAAAACAAAGAAAAGGGAGGGGGGGAGAGAGAGAGATATGAGAGAAAAGGCCCAACCATACCGTGAATTATATTTTCAAAAATTTTAATTTTTTTATTTAAAATAATTTTATATTTATAGATAGTTTTAATGTGCTAATTTTAAAAATAATTTTTTTAAAATAAAAAATTATTGTGATGTATTTTTAAACAAAAAAACATTTTAAATTACCATTACTACTATAATTTTAAACAAACGTGAATACCTTGTTAATTTTATGAATAGGATACACACTGTATTTGCTACTTCATAATGCAATTTTATGTGATTTAGTGATATATACATATTCAAGGATGTATAAGAAAAATTGAACAATCTATTTACACTCAGAATAATTTAAAATAACACTCCGGTATTTTGATTCTTCTTCTTTTATATATTATTTTTCTGAAATACTTTATTAATTTAGATATAAAAAAAACACCTATCCTGTATAGTTTTTAAGGAGTAAAAACTTATACCATGATTTTTCCTGTGGACTAGGCCAGCATGCCTCCTCTCAGTTATAAAATTGTTTAGTTTAATAGAGTTTTTATTAGTATTAATTTGTTTTTTAATAATATATATCAGATAACTCAAAATCAATTGTCATAACCCAATTTTAGCCCTTTGGCTTTTAATTTAATTTTTACAGGGTTTAAAATGAAAAATTAAAAGATCAGAGATTTATTTCGATGAAAAGTGTGATTTGTCAACTTTCGTGAAAATTAAGGACTACAATGTGCCTTTGTCATTCTAGCCTTATCCTCAAGATAATCCTTATCTTCTTCAAGATAATCCTTACCTTCAAGATAATCCCTATCTTTTTCAAGATAATCCTTACCTTCAAGCTAATCCTTACCTTTTTCAAGATAATCCTTATCTACTTCAAGATAATCCTTACCTTGTTCAAGATAATCCTCAAGATAATGATAGTTGTCTGATTTTGAATTTGATTCTAATTCGAACTTCAAAAAAGAGAATGAGTTTGATTGAAACTTGGTTTCTCACACACAAAAGACCTTTGAGACTAGATAGCAAAATTACCCTGAAGCATTTAATGATTAGAACCTATCCTTTAGGTTGATCCCTATATAACTTTATTGAGATAAAGCTTGAACATGTAAGCATCATTATTAAAAGGCTTTTGGGTGACATAATGACTGTTATTCCTAAGACAACAATTATTGAGCATGGACTCAAGTTTGAATTCTTGCAAATGACCGATGGAGACTGCTTTAGACTGGATGTCGATGAGATACCGTTACTCAAAGACATTAGATGCTTAGTGAAAGACACCAAGAATGTGGCTGAAAGCTCAAATGACAAAAAGCTAAACAGATCTCCTCTCGGCATTGCAATGAATATCGGATTCGAATCTGACCACACATTTAAGGAATAACGATCATTATGTCACCCTCCAAAAGGCAAATCCATATCCAATATGTTGTATTCATCTTCATGCATGTTTGAACATA